TTTTGTAATCGACGATATTTTTCAGAAAATGTCTACTTGTTACTCTTATTAATGATGAAGTTTTGTACGCATATGTGTTGAAATAAAGTACGAAAATTAGATTATGATGTCGTTTTTTTCCATAGTGATTGACTTGATGATATACGATATTTTGTATACTAAACATCATATGGTAGTGTTTACTAATATGACAAACTCTTATCTGAGTAAAATATGTATATAAGATTATTTGAGAATATAAAATATAAAATAATGCACTCTACTCACACATACTAATATTAAATTGTTTGTTATTAGTAAAACTATAGTTCGATTTGTTCTCATAAATTCAATAGATGTGTTCTTATCAACAATCAATTCTGGTGTCGATTTGAAATCATACATTTTTCGTTCAACTATTAAAGCAAACGATTTAATCAATCAAAAAATTGTTCTCGTTACCTATTCAATTGTTCTTATCTTAAGTATAATGCAAACATTTTTGAAGAATAAACGTGTCGATCAAGTGTTGGCTTATATGAATGAAGCTTATTCTTATGGAAAGTTAGAATCACATCAAGTTTGTTTTCATGAACAAATTATGACTTGTTATCGATTTGATCAGCGTTTCTCACATATTCCTAATCCTAATCGATCAATATTACTCATAATTGCTACTCATGTACAAATACTTATGCTTATTGTAATCAAAACTTTATTTATTCGAAGAAAGGAACCCGTAAATGATTGTTTCTCATTTCACTATCCATATCAAGTACTTGAATGTAAAAATCATAGAGATCCATGTAGATTTAATGAGACTGAAAATATTCCAAAGTGTACATATCATTATTTTGAAATGATTCATCTTATCACAATGGTCATGTCTGTCATCACTTGGCATTATGCTCTTTGCTATTTTGTTGTAAAGTTGGTTCGATTTGTTCGATGGATCCTCTTTCGTGATAATGATCAGTTACGAATGCTATGCTGGTGTTGCGGTTCTGCCAAATCGCGTACTGTACGATGTCTCATGTATTTGCATTACATTGTTTTGTGGGGTAATCTTTTCATTTTAATTCTATTTGATTTTTTGTGGAACAAAAGTCTCTTCGGTATACAAATCAATATGCTAGGATTTATGTGAGCACCTATACTGACAACAATAGATCGATTTTGTTCACTCTATTTAGCTCTGATACCAGAATTAGTACACAATTGGTTGGATGCGTCAGCAAATGATACAGTTTTACAAGTTTTTGAGTCGAAAAAATTACTTCTTGCCAATGTCGAACCTCTTATCTATTTAATCAATAAGAAAACAACATTTTCAACATCATGTAAAAACAGAGTATTATCGACTAATGAACAAATTGTTGTTGACTCGACATCTCATACGTAAACGCTCAGCCATAATAATATTTATTTTCTTTTGTTATTATATTTTCTGGTAAAAACGCAATTCTTTTTAACAGAGTTCCTGCCTATACACAATCTCTTTCTAAAACCCAAACCACAAACACATAGAACAAAGCAAAAAAGCTATGAATGCGATCATTGTTATGTGTCAGTTCTATATTTTCAAAAGAAAATTCGTACTTTGAAATTTGCATAACTTCAAATTACAATTGTGAAAAATCTTTTAAATTAACTCTAGGAATAATGTCTAAGACATCAGTACATGCAGGGTGTGAGTGTAAGGCTCCGATGTGGGAGAGTGTCGGTGTGGATAATTTCAGAAGAAGATCTACAACCACATCTAAGAACAAGTTTTGGTCTTTCTTTTTATGGCTAGCAATAATGATGCTAGCCTTTAAACGCAGATAATTGTGACGATAAAGTATAAGAAAATATTAGGACTAAAAGAGTTAACGTTGTAAACAATTCTGTAACATCAAAGATGAAAATGTTTGTGCTATTCGGTTCATATATTTTTTTCTTTTATATGAAAAAATGAAATTTAAAAAAAGAAAAACAGTCATTACAAGTTTGATAAAAAGGAAGTAGACATTTCTAGAGAAGAATAAAACGTGGTACGTATCTTAGATATACATGTAGATTAGCCCAATGATCGATTAAATATTTGTCCATATTCAGTTGTTCGATGCAAGTCCTATGTTCAACAATCGCAGCAATTTCGCATGAAATTAAAGCGCATGGTAATACTTGAACATCAGCAAACCTGGCCATAGATGAAACCTTGACATAGCCTGTATAGAACAAAATCAAATATCCATCATCTTGAGTGACGATCGTACGCTTTTGATTCGCATTCAATGGTCCTTCAGTGCAGATAAGGGAATACGTGTCTCCGTTGATCTAGAGTAAAAATTTTGATGAATATGTTAATACAATATGAAACCAACGTCGATAAGGTATTCTTTTTCATCTGTGTTTGTGCTAGAAGATCACCCACATGTGAACATCAAACTCGAATAGACGTGGGATTTAGAGTAATTTCAAGTGAAAAATTATTAAATCGCATTTGAAACGTAATCATTTCGAATTCAGGATAAACTTGAAGCCACATACTAACTGAATAGTTATTGTTATTGACAGGAAAAGCAAATAGTGGCAATGCAGCTCTGTAAACTTATGAATCCCACCACTACAACACCACCATTTCCCCGCAAGTTCTTACAGACTGAATATTGAATATTATAGTTTCGTAGTGACCAATACGTAAGTCTAAAATCATTTATCAAATACATACACTTAATCAAACAATGATATAGTTTAGAAACGTGCTGTAGCATTTCTTTAAAAAATTACAAAGAACTTAAGAACACTGCTTATACTCGAAATGCAGATTAGTTTTGAAAACTAAATAAATGTGGAAATCTCGGATTTAAATCCGAGTGTTATGTGTACTTCAAAAAGTAAAAAATTATTGACAATAGATTGGTTTTGATCAAACTATCCAAAAAAATCATCCTGGAGAGTAGTAAGGAATAGGGATCAACCAGCTTACCTTGACGAACTTCATTCAAATGAACTAGAGAATTGTTCGAACAGTTCTTTTAAACGAGCTGAGCTTTTTCAAACATTTCTTTTCAAATGAATTTAACTTAAAGTCATACTAGATGTTATAATATGGATGGATCCATAGGTCCTCAAGGTCTACTATATAGGAATACCCATAGGATAGTCTTTAAGGACCTGTTGATGCTCTTATATAATAGAACTTGAGGAACTATTGGTACCCCTATATTAAAGGACTTGTGGACCTATGAGTATCTCATAGAATAGGACTTGAGGACCTGTGAGTTCCCCATAGCACACTAAAGGAATCATAGATATCCAGCCTGGGATGTGCTTAACCAATCCTGAAGATGGCATGTATAGCTTTTCATGATGATCAACTCATAGAGCCGAACTATTTGGAAAGGTTAAGTTCGTTGAAAAGAACTGTTCAAATAGTTCAGTTTGTGGTAGTGAACGTTTTGAACAGCTCATCGGTTCTGAACTAGAGCTGAACTTGTCTAGACAGGTGAGTCATCGTAGCATGTGTAGGCATCAAAATTATCCTAGCAAGTCCTTCCTATTAAAACTTGATTTCTATTGGTTACTGCTCAACCAATAGGATTTCGAGGCAAGTGGAGCTCAGATTCGAGTTCTTTGCTCCAGAAAACTTCGAAGTATCATCTCTGTGATTGGAAGATGGAGCTTTAATTTTCGATCAATTAGAACATGAATAAAAACAGATCCAATTTTCGTCTAAGTATCTTTGTAATAGGTGACTTAGCCTTCTTGTTTCCTAATGTTTTATATACCATTTTGTAGCTCGTGAAATTCTCCATCGAATGGTATATAATAGCGTCGATTTTTTTTTGATTATGAGAGGAAAAGTTCTTTTACGAAAACCGAGATAGGTCAATAATCGCATAGAAAAGCATAGGGAAAAATGACTTTTTTTTGCGATAACTCACCAATGGCTCGACGAATCATTCTCATCTTCGAACTCGACTGAGACATTGATGAGATGATACTGATACTGTGTACAAAATTTCATCAAGATCGCACTCGCTTTTCAAAAGTTATCGTGTAAACGGCCGGACGGACGGCACACTGACCGATTCTAGAGTGTACTCACTTTTTGAGTACATAAAAAACACAAAATGCAAAAGAAAGAAAAATATCCATCTCAAACAGTATGTAATATTATATGAAAATAGTTTCAGTTAGACCGGACGTACTTTGTGAAAGAAACAAGAGCTTTTTTATACTTTTTTTTTCATGAAAAAATTGTTTTGTGAAAAACACGCAAAACCATACAGTTTCCACTATTTTTATTACGTAAATCTGATTTTTTTTTCGAATTTTTTAGCTTTTAAAAATTGTTTTTGAGTTTTGAAATACACTCAATATATAGATTTTACTTGAAACTATACAGCCGCCATAATAAACTAAAGATAAAAAAAATTCAGTCGAGAAAGGCGGCAAGTACTCGTAAGAGAGTTATGTATCAAACAAAATAAAAAATCTCGCGTGACATTTAGCCTTATAATTAAATTTTTAAGCTTTGTTTATGAGTTTTTATAAACAAAGAATAATACTATTTTGTTCTGTTTTTTTTATAGCCTTATCGCCTATCAAGTGACTTTCATTCAACACCAGTCCGATCATTTTTAGATGTATTGTTCAGAAAAGAATAGACTATATACTATAAATTTATCAGTTTCTGAAGTTCAAATTGCAAGAGAGAAAACCAGTGTTGATGTGAATCTTGTTCCAGACACATTCCATACTTTTACTCGAGACTCCTGTACTGTAATGTTTGAAGCTATAGAAAATTTCTTTTTTTGGTTTGCGTGATTCAATTCATTTCATTCGTTGCATGTATCTGTGTAAAATATAGTTTTACCGGTTGTTTCCATTTCACAACATTTCACTCATATAATAAAGAATATCAAGCAGGATTTATTTTGAGCAACGCGAAATTATATATCACCGTTAATTCATCATAATTAAAACTATTTCAATTGTTAGTTTTTAGTGAATTCAAAATAGTTCGACAAGTCTTAAGCCGTAAGCATTGTTTCGGAGGGATTTATGGGTGCTTCATTTTCAATGTTACTATTATGCTCTTCAAATATATCTGTAGCCCATTTTCGTGGAATAGCCGAACCAAACATCAAGTAGACGACACCACCGATAGTATAGACAATGATAAAAATGATGAACATGTATTGCCAATCGCTAAGAATAGGCTGTTTGATTAGAACACCTGCTAAGATGTTTGCCGAAAGACTGGCCAAGGAACCAAATGTGATCGATAGACCAAAAAGAAGACTTGAATAGGCAGGTACTACATCAGCAAAATTGACAACATAACCAGAACCATAACCGAAACCTAAAATAATTAATGAATAGAACTTGATTGGTCAATTTATCAACGCTTCCATATATTTATGAATTGATCAATAAACTGTTCGAATTAGACAACAATACAAATTATTGAGAAATTCATCTTCACTAAAATAGATTGTTTCGAAAAAGTCTCTTTTATAATCCTATAGCTAAATATCAGTCGCTATCAGAATGGAAGAAAATAAAATTTCAAAGAATCCATGGTGAATTTGTATTCATGCTTATTTACAGTTGGTTGTGAACTAGAATTTTATTTGTAATAACACTCACCTGAACTGCCAAGGTAAACGAGCAAAGCCCCAATGCCTAAAATTTGTCGAGTTTCATCACAAAAACAAAGTACAAACATGCATATGACAGGAATAAACGATGCAAGCGAATTGAATAATTTTCGTACTCTTGTTAATGACATTATATTTCCTTTTACGAGACGATCAGCAACAATACCTATATATCAACTGTTCTATGCAAACTTTAACTCGTCAGTGTTTTTTCTTCTTACCGGATAAAAGACTACAAAATGCCATAATTATATAACCTATGGCTAATAAATAGCCAGCATTTTGAGTCGGTACACCACAGGCTTGTTCAAAAATATGGTCGTCTCACGGGTATTATGCTTTTTGAAAATAAGAGAAAAATGTGCTTGGGAAATCTTGAACAAGGCTTTGGATTTCTGTGAGTATCTTGCCAATATTTGAATAAAAGAAAAACAGTCCAAATACATTACATGAATGTGTGATGAATAAAGCAATGACCGGTTTCGATCGAACAATCTTCTTCCATGGTAGTGAAGATATTGCGATGAGTTGTCCACTTTTAGCATTCCGTTTCCTACCAATAATACTACAAATATAGTTACGTTCGATTTGATTTATTCTTTTATGTTCTCTTGGTGAATCTGTTACTAGCCATGACCACAAAGGAAACCAAATTAATCCGAAGATACCCGACAAAATGAATATATACATCCAACCTGAATTCATATAACGACAAAAAATACCTCCAATCAGCATCATTGTAGCTAGACAAAAGAATATTATCATCATCACTCATTCACTGTAGATAGAACAAAAATATCTACTTACATGTACCAACATGTGTACCAGAAAAACTGATGGATGTCAAAGTACCTCGCTCATTTGGTACTGCCCATGATACCCATATTGTATACGTAGCCGGAAAGAGAGCACCATGACCGAGACCAACAATTATTCGTAGGACGATGATCAGTATAAGCAAAACTTGAGTTTCGGCCATTGTATAAATAACTGATAGAGCCAATGTTGCCAGAGAACTTGTGAGTAGACAGTAGGCAAATACTCGCTTAGCACCAATACTCATCGACAACCAACCACCTATTACATGTACATACATAAAATCAATAGTTCAACTTTTTAATTCTATACCTGGTACGAGTGTTAAAATATAGCCTGCCCAGTACGCGCCAAGTATGATTTGCTGTTCGAATTCACTCCAACGAAATGTTTTCTCTTTAAAAATTTGAGCTGTATCTATGACAGAAGGTGTTAGTGTTGTATTATGTTTCACAAGAGTCGAGTTTTGTGTCGAATTAACTTCCATATTGATGCCCGTCTTATTGACCATGCATACAATTGCAATAGATAAACTTTGTCGTTGTGCATATTGAGTAAAAAGTGCAAACGAAACAAGTAAAGCTATGATGAAGCGTGTCGATGGAATGAATCGTGGCGTTGTTAAATCTTGTACGTTCTCATCAGCCATAGAATGACTAAAACATCAGAAAAACACACATAGTTGCATATTTAATGGACAAAAATCATCGATAGAATAAATGCTTGCTCTCATTACGGGAGAAAAAGAATATTATTATTTTGAGTTTCGTTTTTGGACTACGTATTACAGTAATAAACACACAAAATAATACGTCAAGCGTTACACGTGCATATCTATCAGTCTCTGTTTCTTTCGTTTACGTTTTGAAAAATAATATTAGCTTTGTTTGTCTATTCAAGCATGACACAATATTTTTCTTCGAGTGCACAATCTTATGACGTAAACCAAGTGCAAACTATACATTCACCATTCAGACATTGAAAGTTCAAGGAAATTCATATGGTATATTGAGAAATAAGTATACATGTCGATGAACTTTTTCTTTATGTATAATTAATATTTGATAGGTCAGAAAGAAGTTGTCAGTCTTTCTGAAAAAAAACATTTTCTACTTTTTAAACTGTTGATGAAGAAACAGTACCAACAAACATAAAGAACATTATGAGAGATATGAACATATATAGATATAGTAATATCATAAATATTCACATCATACTCATTTTTTGACAGATAATATGAGATAAAAATCTCAAGATATCTATTTAGTTTTCAATACAAATTTCTCTATGAAATAGATCATAAAGCTTGAATAATATTCACTTATTTAGAGATGAATTATTTTTTAATAACAATTACTAATTAAACTTACACAGTAAGACACACATTGTTTAGATCATTATTATATTGCATATATCGCGATGTTAATTATTTTTACAATGTTCATATTTTCATAATATTACATACCTATATATGAACATATTCGTGTTCGTGTAAATGTTGGTGTTTCCATCTTTTATTTTCTTTTTATTTGCACTGCTTCTTCATTAACAGTTAACAAAGTTGAAAAACATTGCGAGAAAGACCGAAAACTTTCTTCTAACCTATGAAGTATTGATTGTACATAAAGAACAACTTCATCTGCACATGTACTCATTTCTCAATATATGATATTGATTCCTTTGTATCGCCAACATCTAAATCATGGATATATGATTTGCACTTACATATGCAAGCCATATGGGTGTGGACCGAATCTCGAAGAAAACCCACATCCACATCGACAAATATATACATATATATTTAATGAAAGAGTACCTGTATCAGTCTATGCACTCTCAGCTTCGCCTGCGTCTCTTTCTCTGATCTTCTCAGTAAATCAATGATCTATTTTAGGAGTCTTAGAAACAATCATTAATATGTAGACAAAAGCAAAGTATTCACGAAGCTTAGAAGTGATTGATTGTTCGCAAATATGTTCGTGAATGTCGGGAAACAAAATCATCAATATCATTCGTTCTAACTCTCACAACTAATTATTAAGATTCTTCCCATCTAGTATCAACCGTGAAATGTACATATGAATTCGAACGATTGTCCAAAATTCAAACTCTTTTTTTCTGTTTCTTGGAAGTGCTGTTCGATCAAATTTTTAATTTTACAGTAGTCAATTAATTGTTGGTCGATTATTAATTTCAGTCAAAAGAAATTCTTGAGTATTCTTTATTTATTACTAATAATGTAACATAAAGTTCTAGTTGATAATTTCGTCGATCTGATCTGTTATCATTATTATATTGCAGAGCTCATTCGAACAAGACTGACTATCCTACTGTCCATTGGTCGCCAAAGACAAATCAAAACGATATCGATTTTTGGTCACTATAATCGATCATATTGTTCGTTTGTTTGAAAAATAAGTGTTAATTTTATCAATAACTGTAATACTTCAAAAGGTCTTCAATAAAAAGAACATGCACAAAGCAGCATGTTTTATGAGTAGTCAACTCTTATCACAATAATCCGTTTTAGAAAAAATACTGCACAAAATATTCTAAGATACATTATACACGTTTATTCTCGATATAACTATATCACTATTTAATCGAGAAAAAGAATAAAAATAGTCAATAAGATTAAGAATCATCGTGGTGATCAGTTCGTCTGAAAAGTTTGTTCTGACTATTGATTTCGAACAACTCACGCTTGCTTTCATTCATGAGAAAAGATATTGTAAGAGAATCACAGTCTTGTACGAAAAAGAACTTTCGTTTCTTCTGACTTAGCCATTCGATAATTTTCATTCGAACATTTGGCGTTCTGTTATCGTCCATAAATTTTACACTCGATACGTGTTCATTGTGTTCAAGAATCGATTTTATGCATTTTAAACTATTTGTTTTGACTTGAAAATGTCGTACTTGATGATATATAACAGAACATATTCGTGTAATAATGCTGGTTAAAACATTAGCACATAAAATACCCAATGTGTAGATATTGTGAGTTTGCTTGAACAATGTCCGAATTGCATCCGTATCAATGACAGCACGAGATGTACAGATTAGCCAGATTTCATCGACATGCTGAAGGTCAATAAGTGTTGCTAGATACTGTGATGCTTCGACAGACAATTGACTATCGATGTCCAGCGTGAGTTGATTAACATTACAATTCCATAGTTATACTAGTAATGTAACCTAAATAGAAAAGACGCTACAGTATTTTTCTCGATATGACTTATTGAGAAGATAAACAATAAATAATATGATATTTCATTAATACTCACAAAACGACTAGCTCGAAAGTATTGTTTTAATATACTTTTCGAAATTTGAAACAAAGAAGAAATAGATGTGATTAATCTTGGTCAAATATCAATTGTTTTAAATTTTCGAATTTGTGAATTTTCAGAAAGAAACTTGAACTGTCAACTTAAGTATTAGCAACAATCAACTTTCTAAGATCCATTTGAAATAGAGTCGCGATTTTAGAAAAATGCACAAGTGATCAAGAACAGAATTGATCTTAAAAAAACTGAACCTTATTCTGCCTCGCCGTGTCTTAAAAATGAAATAAGAATATTCATTCATTTAATAATTAATTGTTTCTTTATACATATTATGTTATTGACTTTTCTCTTCATTAAAGCTCTCACATTTAAACAAACACACCATACACTATTTATTTGTGCTTCGTCTTCATCCATTGTAGTGGAAATAGAAGAAGATATTGTATAGAAATCATTACTGAATGGAAAACCATTTGGAGCTTGCGACGATGAGAAGAGACCAAGTCCAACCTTTCCATAGGCGTTGTTGTATACACAAGTAATAAACCAGTGTTTTTCTTGAAGCTAGAAAGGTGTTCGAAAAGAGGAAATAAGCAATTTAATTTCTTTTGTATCAAAATCATAGCAGAAGAAAGAAAATTCGAATTCACGAAGCATGGGTAATTTTATTGGAATAAATTTCTCCCATTCCGATAAGTGCTGAAAAAATTCGAAGGTTATTGTTTGACTACTTAGATGAAGATGAATGAGTGATGGTGTAGCACACAAAATTGATTTGAGTATGTCTATCGGCATCTGGGTATTTTTCAATGTTAAAGAGGTTATTTGTTTACAAGAATTTGCGATGATATGTTCATCGATTCTGTTCACATAGCAATATCTACTTGATAAATTATAAAGACGAGAAGAATTACAGAGAATAGAAGCTAGTTGGTCGTCATTACAATCACGAATATTTAATATTTGAATAGTACAATTAACAGGCCACAATATTTGATCAATAATTGTTATGTCGAAATCCAGCACAAGATTACGAAGAGTAAGCTGTGCAATAATAAGAGAGAGAAGAGAAAGAATATCAATATTAATATTTGATATTTCGGAATAGATCGAAAGTGATTTGAATTGACAGATTGATGCAATATGTTGCAAGATTATGGTCAAATGAGATTGTTTGGCATCACATATCGTCAATGAGAGAACTTGAGTAAATTGGTGCAAGTCAAAAAGCGACAAAAACAATTCAATATAATCTTTTTCACCATTCCAACATACGAAGCGTAGTGACGCGATATTTTCTGGTCGTATTATTCTTTGAATATGACGAAAGTTCAGTTTTGATGTTGATATGAAGTCAAGCTTGTGCCGATTGTAAGCATTTGTTAAGACGGAGAAATGTATCGAATAGGAAAGAGTATTGTTTCGACATCTAAATAGTCAAATATTAGAGAGAGAAGCTCAGTAGGTAAGGTCAAAAGAGACATCGTGGATTCTATAGCCAACGATCGTGTGGCTTTTTTGTGATTACAAATGTTGATTAGTTCAAAAGTTGAGGAGTTTGAGTTCGCAATTGTGAAATTCGATCTGTCAACAAACAAAATCGTGTCGTCGATTATTTGCAATATTTTGTTGTTTCTTTGCATTGAAATAAAGCAAGTACATGAAATTTTCGCGACACATTTATTTGAAGAGAAAAACAAATATCATCAACATCTTCGTTTCTTATTTGCTTTGACAGAAGAAAAAGAATCAGAAGAGGAGAATTATGAAAGTAAAAAAGAAGAATCAAGTGAGACAATACGCATGCATGATGATTCAATTCATTTTCAAGCAGATATGCTCGCTAAATCTAGGTCTCATAGGGAACAGTTCTTTTCAAAAATTTGAATAGTAAAACTTATTTCATTTCTTCAATCATACCCATAATCATCTGGAGTTCAATTCTTTATCATCAAAGATTGTGTTGATTTGATTTAATGTTTTTGCAATCGATTTTTATCAATGATTATATTTGAATCATTTAAAACTAATTTTCGCAACGCTGATTTACATAAAGTTCAAAATATCTAAATCGCTCTAAATGCAGTTTTAAATCAAGACATCGATTTGAATTTGTTTTGTTGTCAAAAATTGTTTATACGGATAAGGGATCACTGAGTCATTTTTAGTAATGATGTTCAATGATGCTCCATAAAAAGCGTATGAGAGCAGCCATATCCGGTTCTAAAATATGTAACTCACAAACTACGACTTTTATAAACTTACGGTATATAGCCGGAGATTTTAAAATAGTTTATTTCAAAAAAAAAAGGCCAACTGAATGAGTAAAACAAAATTATAACAATTTTTATAGTTGATG